TCCAGAGGACCTATACAATTTTTTTCCTTTGATTTTTTTACCTGGATTACTGAGATGCATCAGGACATTTTAATCACGGATCCCTTTAAACTTAGGAATAATAAGCAATTTCCCCAGGTTGATCACATAACGTAGGAAACCCCAGTGGAGTCCTGGCTGCCTTTAAAAATAAAATAAAATGAAAAATAAAAAACTTTTGCAGTTGATGTTACTCTCCCTGCCATCCAAACTTTCCAACATAATGGTTTTAGGCTCAGCCTTGTCAGTGTGTTTGATGTAGAAGTGTGAAGGATAATGGAAACTTCAAAGAGATAGCTGSCTACTTTGATTCAGTGGCTACTCAATTTACTTCATTGACTTGATGCTTGTGTACGCTACACATTTTTTTTTCCCATCAAGATTCCAGAGCTTGTGTTTGTTTAAAGGCCATCTGAAAAAATGGGAATGAACCGAAACGTGTTTGTGCTTCACTGCAGGATTTATTGGGCAGAGAGAGGAATCAGTATCAAACCGGCCGCACACAAACGCATAAACAAAAGCACAGAAATACTTAATCCATACAGTCAGACGTTCACAGTCTTCTTCTCGTTTCTTCTGCAGCTCCTGGGAATGGCCTTCTCCATGACACTGTTCCACCACATCCACAGAACGGGGAAGAAGTACGACGCTTAGCCTCAGGCGGAGGCGCCTGACGTAGAGGAGCCCCACTGCCTGATGGGATGAGACTCTGACATGAAGGAAAAAAAACATTCATGCTTCCCTTTCACTTTACAGCATCTGTAGAGCATCCTTTGCCCTCCCCATCCTAGACCTGTACAGACTCCAGCTGTGTTCCTGCACCTTTTTTTTTTTGCTCTTTTCTCTTATCATTCATTTTGCCAAAGAGTTACACAACTGGAATAGAAGGGACACCTACTGTTGGCAAGCAAGAGAAACTCGCTGGTTATTAATGAAATATATATTTTTTTGTTTTTTTGTGAGTTGACTAACAATTTGCTGAAAGGAAGAATGGATTTTTTGAGGACATGAGAACTTTACTAATGCCCATACAGCATCTCCAAGGCAAAGAAAACCCTTGAAACTGAAAATAACACCAACACTCATGGAGTTTTTTCCCCCTCTTTCATATTAATTAAAAACAAGCCCACCTTTTTTTTCTTTTGCTTGTAAAATAATAAAGATCCAATATGGCATGCTAGTTTTCTACTTCACTGACTTACCCTTGACCTTGAAAATGTTGCAATTTTTGTTGTAAACTTCTTAGATTTTGAATTTTTGTGTATTGTTTCCGCTCTTGTGGAATGTAGGTGCTGAACGGATCGGTGTGCTGAGCTCTCACATGTGCAGTGTGGATGGGTTTGACATGACGGTGCTGTGGAGGGGGACGGACGTGTTAGAATTGTTTTATATATATTTTTTACTCAACTATAAGACATTTGGATAAAGAGAGCGTGTTGTAAGGACATTATACAATCATGAGGYATTATTAGTGGGTTTATATTTGGTAAAATTCTGCCACTGTCCACAGAATAATAAAGTGTAATGCACAAATCTGCCTGTGAACACACACACATATACACAACTTTGTTGTGCCGCACTGCATTGGTATTCCAAGTCCCTGTGAGGCGACACATATAATGTTAAATGGTTGTTAGTGCTCCACGAGTCCTGTCAGCCGCAGTGATCTGGGTGATAAAGTTGTTACTTTGAGAATAGATTGTGTTTGTGTGTTTAGCTCCGTCTTTGTTTGATCACACAGTCCAAGCTGCAGATTCAGGAGGGGGGAAAAAAGAAAACAGAGGGCCGAAGCAACAGACATGTTGTCTCGCTGCAGCCATCAATAGTGTTGGCAAGAGGTGGCTGGAGGCTTTTCTTTTTTTTAAGGTGTCATCTGTTCGCTCCGTTCTTCTGCTTCTTTCTCCCTCCGTGGCCGCATAGTCAGCCATACCTCCATTTTTTTCTTTTTGCACCCCAATTCTCTTCCCACATGTCAGGAAGCGATGCGTTTGACATTCATTGCTTATTACTCAGTTGCACCTCTGGTTCGCAACTTCTCATATCTCATGTAAGCTTGCTTTTCGTGCGGCTGAGAGGAGAGGGGGAGGCTGCAGTGTAGGCAGATCAAAGCTGAGGCAGATAGGTATGGCAACATGCCCTGTAGGACACGTCTGTTTACGTGCTGATGCACCGCAGGATGGCTGAGCATCAAGCCTCCCTCCTGTGGACCAAAAATACTCTTCATCTCTTGGTGYCTTAAAGATTGTTGCCCTCAAGTTTGTCTCCTTAAACTCGCWGAAGATTTAGCGGCATAGAAAGAACCGCTTTTATTCTTGGGGAATCCTTTTAACTGTGGGAATGGTATTCAGTTTTTGTGACATCTCCAAAGCYAATTCTGTTTTGACTTCTAAAAAGATGCCAAAGAATTGGGAGAAATCATGTTGAAACAAATTGGAAGTAAGTCTAGAGGTTTATTAGATTAGCAGCCTTGTTTACGTGACAGTAATCAGTTTGTAAGAAATGACTCCTCTTTACGTTGCGTCTGCACGTGCTCACAACGTGAAATAGGTCAGTGTTGAATTAGAGTCARGTTGTAAAGCCTGACAGTTTGATTAAGTGGTCAGAGTTTGAAACTGGAGCAGATTTAGGTGCATATTAAATGCAAAGGATCTGATTCCTCTAAAAATAAAAAAAGCACGTTTGTGTAAGTCCATAGGCTCCCAGCTTCTTGTTTTCTGCTTTGCCCGCCTTTGCAGCATCTTCCTTTTGATTTTCTGCAGCCGCAGCTCTGACTCTTCATTGTGACAGTGCATTGTGTTTCCTATTTTGGTTTGTGGCTTTGTTTGACTTGAAAACCATCCACTTCTATTGTGCGTACAGCACACGTTAGCCCGAATGAGGCTGAGTGAGCACAATTTGCCAGATTGGTAGCGCTCGCCTTCCATTCAACCCAGCAACAATTATGCGGGACAAGCCCGAACATACAGAAAAAAAAAAGAAAAAGAAACTGTTGCAGCTAAATGGATAAAAGAAATGTGAATCACTTCAAACTCTCAAACATCAGCTCACTATTTAAGCAATTTTTCCAAGAAGCTCGTTCGCATAGGTCCAGCGTTTACAGCCTGCACTGCCACAACAGCTGCTGATTACAGCCCATGGAGCCACTGAAGTGGCTGCAATCTAAATTTAGTCTTGTATAATTGTTGCAAAGAGAAATCATTTGCATTGGATGAAACCTTAAAGGGAACATATCATGCTGTTAAAAACGTTGTGTATTTGGCGTCTGTAGGAGTGTAGACAAGTTGAATGCATCTCTCCTGGTGCTGCGTAGGTATCTTTATATTCTGTTTGGGTCATTTTTTTTCAACCCATTCAGTCTATTTTCTTTGGTTTCTGAACTATTATGGCACACTATTTGCGATGGAAATTTTAAACAGGGTCTGGACTTACAAACTACAATTTGGTGGTCTTAATTCTCCTCTGGCTCTGGCTCTGGGTCAGATTCTGGCTCCATGTCAGGCTGGATGGACAAGTCTTTCCTCGTTGAKATTTTTTAACTCATTTGTAAATAAAAAGTTTCTAGTTGTGAATGGTAATTGGACTGTAATTCTATAGCACCTTTCTATCCAACCAGGATACCCAAAGCYCTTCACACTACAATCTGTGCCCTCATTWACCCATTCAGACAGTGCTCTCTACAACACTCACCCCTAATTTACACTACATGCGTTCRGACTCCGCTCSGACCTCCGCAGCAAATACACACCCGTTATAATCAATGAGAYTGTTTACACTGGCTGCYCASGYCGGCGGTGAGCGGACGGCGATCCGGCAAAATTAGAACAGATCCTATTTTTGCRGGASGCCGGAGCWGCGCCGGAGTCAATTRTTAAAGATTACGTCGCACCAACAGGAAAAGAAACGAGCACAACATCCGTATTTTCAAAATAAGACACTGTTAGACTGGATAATTTGTCGGAATAATGTCGAAACTGCAGCCAAATTAATAAATATATGGATATATTTCTACACAAATGCTGTCAGAATGAATCGTTCTGTTTGGGAAGCAGATGGAAACATGTAGCATGAAGCATATGTGTGGACACACGATACACATGGATTTTATTTTGAAATCAGAAGTTTCAGAAAGACGACAGCGAGACAGTTTCAACATAGATATCAAAAGCTTTTATATTAATGTTTMCAGCTGTGTTTGGAGTTCGTCTTTCAAAGGATTATTTATTTTTTGCTCTGACTTCCACATCACTGGATTTATCGCGCAATTTCCTTCTTCCACACTAGGGTTGGGCATAATCGTATCGTGTGCAATTAATCGTCAGAAAAACATTAATCGATTACTTTTTGGCACTTGACGATTAATATGATTACTGCCACCAGGCAGCGTCCGCTTGCTGCTCCTCCCCACTTCAAATATGACGAACATTAAAAGTAAAATTCTGTAATTTATTTGTCTATCAGCACAATTTAAAATATGATGTATAGCCTGAAATCTGTAATTTTCACACAGTTTGGAACATTTTTTTACAAAGAGCAAATCTTTCCCACTAAATTGGTCATGTGACTATGAAATAAGGGTGTCCAGGGACTCCAGGGGATTACGGTAATCGTCAAATTAATAGTTGTCGGCTAAATACCACAATTAATCGTGATTAATTTTTTTGCCAATATTGCCCAACCCTATTCCACACCCTCTGTGGGACCAGAGCGGAGCGGACGCTGTATAAATTGATACACAAACGAACAGCTGCGACCTGTGCACCGCAGCAGAGACGCATGTAGTGTAAATCCGGGGTAACATACTGTATACAATAAGTGCCAATTACATGCATACACTGATGGGACACACACCAAGGACACACAACAACTGAGACAGTTGGAACAGGGGTTCGAACCGGCAACCTACCGGTTCCAAGACGACTCCCCTAACCACTCTGCCACAGCCGCCCCCTCTATCAAACTAGAATGAACCCTCTGGAAGATGAAGTGGGGCGGGGTGTGAGGCTCCTTGTTTGGATTTAAAGAGACAGCCTCAAAACGAGTTGATCTGAGACACACATCAGAAAAGGTGAAAGAGGGGCTGGAGGATTTTAGACCAGTTCCACATTATATAGACCCCAACTCAATTATCTAAATATGAAAAAGAAGAAATTAAAAGCATGATATGTCTCCTTTAACAAACAAAACACAAAAAAATACTTATTAGGCGTTCTTCCAGCCTAGCATATCGTTTCTTTCATAACTTCTGTGGAGATCATTTCTGCTTTTGAGAATCATTTTTTTAGCAACAATCACAGTAGCAAAGGGTGGCTGTGCATGAAGAAGCAGCAGATTTGGGCCAGTATGTGCAGTGACCCTGCTTGGCTGAGATATACCGGCTCACCCCCCACCCCCCCGTACGCTCCGACTCCTCTTGCTGTGTCTGCGGGGMTAACATGACAGCTGCTGATGTACAGCGCAGGCACGAGTGGTCGCGTCCCCCTCCGCTCGGCTGCCTCCACACTTCCTCTTTATTTACCGCCTCGCTCCGCGGACGAGACGCTGGCAGAACGCCCCCCCGACGCTGCTCAGCTCTTTGCACAGTTCAGAGCACCTGTGGGTGGGGTTGGAGGAATCACTGTAACTGTTATGTAAATCTGGCTGCACTGTATCTTAGATGGAAAGTTTTTTTTTTTTTGTCTGGATGAATAATTCACTGTGTTGCTCAGTCTCACTTTACCTGAAAACGTCTTTAAACTGACGACGAGGAAAACATGAAAAAAAAGGTGGAAATAAAAGCAAATCCAGGGACTGTGAAGGAATCTGACATGAAACTTCAGAGCCGCAGCCTGCAGACACTCTCACTGTTTCCCCCCGCCTGATCCGACTGTACCCACATTCTGCGTGAACTCCCAGCAAACCCTGCTGCCATCACCTAGTCTTTATGGTTTTTGTCAGACTAAGTGTTCCTGTGTGTTTTTAGATTCCAGGGATGAATGCCATTTTTATTTTTTTACAGAAGCTGTTGAGTCATATATTTCTTTTTTGTACTTTTCTTTTTTTTAGTCTTGTTTAATGTTTGTTTTTCTACAATATTACTGTTGGTTTTTGTCYTATTGGGTGTTTTTGTTTCCACTTGTGACAGACGCTCACTGATGCTCATTGTAACATGACACAAATAATTCATCTCTTTCTAGAGGATTAGACTCGGCGCAGCCTCTCTCCAAGGTGCAAAAAATGCCTTTCTGTCTTAATACAAACACACACACACACAGCAATTAAAATAGAATTAATGGAGGTAAATTTTAGCATATAAAATTGGGTGAAGTCCACAAAAGACGTGCTGCATGCTTCTTGTGATTCGAGTTTAATTAAATTAGGGTGTGTGGTTCTAATCTGCAGCAGGTCTTRTCAAACTGCTGATGTCAGGCCCATTATGTATTTCTAGGTCAGGATCTCTGAGACTCTGTGCAACAGAGCTCTGTATATCAGCACTGGTTGTTAGCATCATGTGTAAATATGCTCAGTGTTGCAGTCAGGATCATATTTACGCTGGCTGAATCATTTTCTAGGAAGCCATGCACTCATATTTGGCCATATCGTTTCATGTATGTTTCTTTTTTTTTCATGTATGTTGTTTTTCTGCCTCTTTTATTTTTTTCAGCTTRGCTAGTAAGTTTTATGTAAATGTGTGTTTTTATCAGTATGTTTTTCATACTTTATTTGACTGGATTTTGATCTTTGTAGTAAAACAGAAATTTTTTCATGTTTTTTTTCTTTCAAGGAGCGTAAAATATTCCTTTTCATTCGTGGAGTTTGTCCCGGTTAGATGGTAACGACTGAACGCACATACAGTAACATGGTTTTGTTTGCTGTGAGGAACTTTGAACATAGAGCGTCATCCTTTTTTTTTTCTTCTAATTTTAATCGTTTTTATTTTTACCACCTTCAGCATATTATTTCTGTAATCTTCTCATAATCCTTCTCCCAAGCTAAAGCGGGAGCATCTGAGCGGTGGAAATGCGTTTGATGTTGTGTTCTGCTCCGTGGCGTTATCATGACACCTGCCAACCTTGTTGTGCGAGTTTCTGCTACATGTTTTTTTTTTTTTCTAACCGTCTGCTAGGTGGTGGACAACCTTCTCTTTTATTTTCCAAATCAACTATTTTTAAATAAAAGAAAGTGTGTCGCTAAATCCCACGACACCGCACAGCCATTGCCTTTCATGTTTAATGACTCGTTGCTTCTGATTTATTCTCTTTTTGTGTCGCTGTCAATTATATAGGCCACGTTTAAACGCTGGTTCAGATTGTGTTGAGTGGGGGGAGGGGAGGCTTTGACAACTTGGCATGTAGAGCAAAGAGAAGTGGTGKCCGTGCAGATTTTAAGTGTTTTAATGAAAGAAAGTGGAAATCCTGCCTTAAACTGGCCTCTTTTTGTAAAGGATATAGTTATCCTAAAGATGAGAGAACAGCAGTCGGCAGTTTGAGAAAAGGGTTTTACTTTTTTTTTCTTTTTTTTAAAGAACAAACGGGAGAAGATAAAAGTGCAAATGATTGGCAATTAGTCTCATGCTTTAACAGAACGAGCAGCAGACTTTTGTACAGTTTGAGATCCCTCCCTCCTTTTTTTATTTTTTAGCCTAAATGTCATCCGACCTGTGTGTGACAGTGAGTAGACTTTATTGTGCCATTCCACCCTGGCTTTATGCTTTTTCTTCTACATCACTGTTATTTCTATGCAAAAACTATGACCTATTTTAGCCTTTGTACAGATTATTTTGTATGAGTAACATGTACTGAAATAAAGTGAAAGTAATCAACTGTAATTTTTTCCCCCCTTTCGGTTGTTATTGTAGCATTTCGCTCGCTGCACCYGATCCATCAGGAAAACACATTTCATTAACCTGAATTCAGAAGGTTTTCATTTTGATGAAACTGTATAATTTGTTCCCACYTAGCATCACTAAGCTTGTTAGCATGCATTGGAGGTGATTTTCAGGTTTGTTTCTGCAACTGTTTGTTTTGCAGTCAGTTGTGTACCTCACACACACACACACAGGTTTGTTTTTTTATCCCCGTGGGGACCGTGTATCGACATCCATTCGTTGTCAGGTGATTTTATAGRCTTCCTGATRACTTACCCTAAAACTAACCTAAACTCAGTCCACACCCGAAATTAGCATCCGTACTCATGGGGGCTGGGCATTTTACCCCACGAGGCTGCCTATGTCTGGAAAGTTCCCACGATGTAGCAAAAATGTGCCCACAAACACACACANCACACACACACACACACAAACACACACACACACACACACACACACACACACACACACACACAAATGTTATGAATAATATTTCTTCAAACTATTTATTTTTCACAACTTCTAATTTAAATCATTGGTGCGTGCCTAAATGAAAACAATGAAATACAATATTTAAAGTCAAGTTAATTAAATCAACYCAATAACAACGAATCTAAAGCTAAAATTAATGAGCTTTAGATAAAACTTAAATTTTCAACATTCTCACCAGAATTTAAAGTAATCTGGCTCGAGCTAATAAAAGTTCGACCTCTTGGTATCTTCTGAAAAACTCTAAAAGTGTTTGGCTGTAAAGGCCATAAGGATCGCCTGAGGCTAGAATGATCAGGACTTTCTTTTGCTGCTGGGTCTGAGTTATTGGAGTTCGAGCCTCAGAAATCAGGGGGTCCCAGAACAGCGCCTAAGTCACTGCTTCATAGAAAAACACATCATTTTTCGAGGATTGCAATATTGATGAGGTCATCCATTGATGATGCCTCACCAACTCATCCTGCAGCAGCAAACTACACCCCAACTTTTTTTTATTTTTTAAAACCAAACTACATGTGTTTTTATAATCCAAAAATAAAAGTAAAGTAAATGTATGTAAATATTTAGTTCAGCTTAAATTCACTTCAACCTAAAACCTGAGAGGAAGGAATATTACTGCTCATCTGAAGTCCAGCTGAAGTAAAGATTCCTCCCTACAAGGGTTTTCCAGGCATGTCCAGCTGGGAGTGGACCCCATGGACGATCCAGGACACGCTGCAGAGTCGGTCTCTGAACTGGGCTGGAATCCTCACTGAGGAGCTGGAAGAGGTGGCTGTGGAAGGAAACATCTGGACCTCCCTGCTCAAGCTGCTGCCCCGACAGCCCGATGGAAAGATGTCAGACAGCAGACCGTGAGTTTGTGAATAMATACAGTTGCATGAAAAAGTATGTGAACCCTTTGGGATTTCTTGGATTTCTGTATAAATTGGTCATTAAATAGGTTATGATCTTCATCAAAGTCACAACAATAGACAAACACAGTCCACACAAAAAATTATATGTTTGCATGGTTTTGAGCACAACATGTAAACATCCACAGTGCAGGGTGGAAAACGTATGTGAACCCCCAGGTAAATGACTTTTCTGAGAGCTAGTTGGAGCCAGGTGTCAGCCAACCTGGAGTCCAATCACTGTGATGAGATGAAATGTGCCCTGCCCTAAAAAAACATCAGTTTTGAGTTTGCTGTTCTTAAGAAGCATTGCTTGATGTGAATCATGCCTCGCACAAAAGAGCTCTCAGAAGACCTACGTTCAAGAATTGTTGACTTGCATGAAGCTGGAAAGGGTTATAAAAGTATCTCTAAAAGCCTTGATGTTCYTGTGTCTACGGTAAGACATACGGTCTACAGATGGAGAAAGTTCAGCAGTGTTGCTACTCTCCCTGGGCGTGGGCGTCCTGTAAAGATGGCTGCAAGAGCACCACGCAGAATGATCACTGAGGTGAGGAAGAATCCTAGAGTGTCAGCTAAAGACTTACAGGAATCTCTGGCACATGCTAACATTTTTGTTGACAAATCTACAATACATGAAACATGACAAGAATGGAGTTAATGGAGGATTAAAAATTGCATTTCTGTGGTTGGGATTTTAGAAAAGTACATATACTTAGGTTTATGTTGACATGTTTTTTTTTTTTAAAATTCATTAAAGAGTTTTTTTGTTTTATTGATCATTTAATTGGTGATTTAATGATCAGATGGGGGAGATGTAATGGAACTAATACTTTTATGTTTAAGCTAGTTATTCATGGCATCCTTTAATGACCTAGGTTTTCATGACATGCTGTTCATCTGCAGATAAAATGATTAAAGTCAGAACAAGATTTGCTAACAACAATAATCATTCTTAGATATCACTTGTGTTTATCTTTGTGTTTTCCATTGACCTTGTATCAAATCTTGCTAAGATGACATAATGGTGTTTGTTAATACATATATGAGGCCTCTCGAGACACAGTGAGTAGTGTGGAGAGACAGTGACAGAGAGAAGCAGAGGCACAGAGACAGGSCAGGTTGTTCTCTGTGTTTCCTGTTGTTGCAATAAAACTCAGCTGATCATCTCACGGAGTACCTTCATTGTTGGACCACGTATTTCTGTCTTTGTTAAATAAATATTGCCAWAARATTCCCCATGTATGAATCTATGGATCAAAATTTATGACTATACACTTTGTTGGGGGGYAAAAACAAATCGATCTCATTAAGTTTTTATGTTTCTCTACTACCTGAGGGAGCTCAGGTCTTCCTGTTGCTCAACAGCAGAGTAACGGGTCGGGGTACTGAATGTGTATTCACATACAGACTTCTGACTTTGAAGGCTTCCATGGATAGTTCAGACAGCATATTGGAAATTCAATGAGACGGCACTAAATTTTTGATACAGTTAAGGTCGTGTGTCCGTCCAGTCTCCACAGAACAGACCGCTGGTCACTCTGACAGCTGATCATTTGCTGCCGGACTGTACGGTTAAATCTCACAGTACAYCTGCTCTGGCCTTTTTTATTTAATTTATCCACCAGATTTACCCTCCAGCAGGCACGGGAACAGGCCAGCAGGAAATCCGGCAACAAAACGCAAGATATCGTTAAACCACATTAGATGTTCCTCCTATCAAAGATACAACTGTCCAGCCTGTGGTCAGCTGTCATTCTGCTTTATTTTTACTGGACTTTATCTGTCTTTGAAGATGGAATTTGTGCGCAAAACCACAAGCCTTTCAGAAACAATAATCGTTAATAAAGAAGCAAGTGCATAATACAGGATCTAAAACCTCTGAAATAATTGAGGAAATACGAAGAAAAGTTTTAAAAAAAGCTCAACTATCTCAGTTATTTCTGAGTAATCTGAGRTGTCAGCCTGCATACACGGTTCTGGGTGCGACCACTACAGCAGGGCAGGGTCACAAACCTACACCCCCTTTTTTTTTAGCCAGCCGGACCCCCCCCCCCACAGCACGCAAACGACCCGACTTATCACAGATTCACGTGGTGGCTCCGTCCGAGCAGGGTGGGGCTGTTTTCAACTCAGAGCCAGTGCAGCTTTATGGGTGAGATTTCAATAAAACAACAAAATCAAAATGGACAGAGAAGCAAGTCTGGACCGCGCCGAAACATTCTCCTTCATCAACCCATGGATCAGATATTTCCTCTTCTTCTTCAGCTTCTTGTTTTGGGTGAGTACAGCAGAGTTTTCAAGGGACTTGGCATTTACCAGCACTGGCAAAGTGATCTGRTGTCCCAGGACACCAGATATTCTTACTTTTGTGCACACAAATCATAAAGCTATCAGCGTTTAAAAAAAAAGAAAGCAAAAGGTTAAAAAAAGAAGCTTATAAATAATGATTGAAGAAATCTAATGCAACTAGTGCTCTGTTGCAAAGAGCCTATGCAGCCTCTGTTTTGCAACCTATTTTAGGTTCYCTGCAGTTATAAATGGGCGTTCAGTCCCTGCAGTGACTGTAGAGGTGCAGTGGATCTCTATGGAAGAAAAYTAGTCTCATTGGAATCTGAATATTTTTAGACACTGAATTRATGACATTGAATTTTTATCCTCTGAAATTATGGCATCTGAAAACTATTATTAACTGTATAATATGCTTTTATAAAATATCTGCATAAAACTGGAGTTTTTTTATCTATTACTCTGAAATGATTAGGAACTAGATTAACTTTAAAACATGTAATTTTTCACTTGTTCTTAGGAGTCCTAATGTTTCTTTTTAATTGTTTTCAAGACACACTTCATATTGATACACTCAGCATTGGTTGTTTTGGCAAAATATAATGAAACAGAGAGATTTTAATGATTTTTTTTAGGAACTTAACTTTTAAACCCAATGCTATTTAAGATGGCCACAGCAATTTGACCTTAGAAAGCATAAAAATTAATATATTTTAGTCAGTTTTTACCAAAAATTATACGAAATTCTGATATGATTGTAGCTCGGACTCATTGAACTGCAGATATTCATTCTTTCAAGGAATGTTAAGCCTTTCCTTCTTTTTTTAAATCCAACACTGACTCACATTTCTGTGATCGCAAACACTTCTTCAGCCCAGTCACTTATACATYAGTCTTTGTCTAAATCTCTAAGGGGGAGGTTCTCAAACTGGGGTCCCAGGTCCCCCAGGGGTCCGCGTGCCGTATCTTAGAATTTTTATAATTTTTTTTTATTGCATACGGGAAACAACACACTAGTAAAAGAAGCATAAACCACACAAAATATAATATTCTCCTGACATTTAGGAGTTAAAGACAGCATGCGTTTATGAGGGGGTCCCTGGAAATTGTTCACCCTTGTAAGGGGTCCCCAGACACAAAACGTTTGAGAACTCCTGCTCTAAAGTCTTTAACCGGAACATCACTGCTGCATTCAAAGTGTCGGCCACYAATAAGGACTCTTTACCTCATAGATCTTTCTGGTCTCAGAAGAAACTGAGGTTGTGACCTAAATAATGTTTAATTCTTTTTTTTTTAGTTTCCCAGAGACCGTGACATCTTAAATCAAACCAGCTCCAGTGTTGTGGTTAATGTAAGCAGTAAACAGAGATAAAGACGTGAGGAGGGGCACTGGTAACCCATCCATCAGATCTTAGTTCTCCATCATTGGTTGTTTTCTCCGTCAGGACTCTAACTCCCACTCTGCACAACATCACATCTGTAACTCAAGTCCCTACATCTCCATTATATCAATGTTCATCCAAAACAAGACAAAAACAGCAAGAGAGCAAACCACTGTACAGCACTCTGTGATCTGAGCCAATCAGCAATAACTGCAGCTCCAGCAGCCACACACACACACACACACACACGCCAGCCAGTGTTGACTTTGTTTATCAGACACAGCCTCAGAAGTGAACACTGCAACCCTAATCCATCAGGCCTTTGTCCCCCATGTCCCCACAGCTCAGTTCAGCTGGCTTTCACCTCGGCACACAATCCGCAGGGAGAAGTCTGATTCATCCCTTTGAAAAAGCCTGAAAACAGAGCTGGAATACATTCGCTGTGGAAGAGAGTCGCCTCTTTGCAAAGCACACGCATATTCAGAAAACGCACAGGCGGTGGAAAACAAGATAGTGGGAAATGAAACGGAGGTGCGGGTGAAAACAGAATACCACTTTAACAAAAACTGTGCTTTTGAAAAGCTTAACAATGGAAAATGAGCATGTCGCTTTTTTGTTTTGCAAACTTTTGTCTGGTCAAGGTAAGTTATTGGATCAAAACGGGTGAAACAAACTATTTAAAAGAAACAATTTACTCCTAGAATATGAATTGGACATGAAGGCCAGCAAACACAAAGCAGACTTGTTTAATGGCTAATTAAAGCACAGACCATGATACCTTCTGGCCTTCAGCAGTCTGATACAGGTTTTAATGTGTTTATTAGGACTGAACTAAGCATTTTTCACACACACACTATTAAAAGGAAGTGTGTGACTCTGAAGGTTGAAAATAAAAACCAAGTTCAGCAGGTTGTTATTAGAAATAAGGTGAAGAATCAAACAGAGGGAGGGAAATAAGTTTTTGACAATGATTTCAGCAAAAAGCACAGATGCCACCTGTTTCCTCCCACTTCTTCTCTGAGGATTTTCTTCATGAACTCAAACCTTTCGAGGCTTTTCAGCCCAACTTTACATAAGCATGAGTGGAAACAAGACTGTGTGAAGCTCCTGCAAACAACAAGCCTGACCTGTGTTACAGGAAATATGTAAATTACAGCTAAACTTGCAGGAAAAGGAGAGAAGTTTTACTATAAACCACAAGAAGCTTTCTTTAGTTTAAAGTGCTGCTTCAAGAGTATTTTAATTCAGATGATTAAAACTGAGACCCATATGTTTTAGTTTTTATCCCCTAGATATTCATCTGTTTGTTCTTCACAAACAAATTAATGATGGTTTCCATGGCTACAGGTGTTCTGCATAAACAAATAAGCATCAATTCATCCATCCATCCATCCATCCATCCATCCATCCATCCATTCATTAATTCATTCATCTGAAGAAAGTTCAGTTACATGTCCGAAATATGTGACAACACATAATCAAACGTTGTGATGACAGTAGCTGAGGATTTTGTCTGAATGCCTGTGATTCAGCCGTAGGTCAGTGGGGGCGAACGCAGGCATTGAAGCAGGTGTGTGTATATGT